ACTTTTATTCTGAAAATCCTGCCGGATGTGTCTGACTAGTATTAGCTAGAGGACACAGTTCTGTTTCAGTGTGCGGCGCTGACCTCCGGCTGTCGATGAGAAAAGTCAAATGGCGGGCAGCAGACTAGAGAAGTTTGGAACCGTATTCACCCGGTAAGACAGCAGCATTTCACGGTGTTAGTGCTCGTTAACGTCCGGTCTCTCGGCAGCCAACAGCGGATAGCAACATGACGGTGTTAGCTAAAGCCCGGGCGACCTGTAGGACGTCGCATTAACCGTGGGTCAAACGTACACACGGTGCTGTTTACCACAACACACGAGCCGGTTACTCGGACACACAAGGCCGTGTCTTGAGTCAGAAATCGGCGAATAAAACACACAGTCCCTGCATTAGCTGTGATGCTACCATTAGCATCATTAGCTTGCGTTCAGTTATGTTAGCACGCTGACCTGACGTCCGGTTGCTTTTCAGGCTGGAAATGAAGACGTAGTACCAAATGAAACACAGCTAAGATGAACTGATGGTCATTTATAGTGATGATAATATTCCCAACAGTATGGACAGTGATGACACGGGCGTGTGAACAGGACTGACGTATGTTTGTTTTACATGTATAAAACGTGTCAGACATGTTTGGTCCTAAACTCAGACTAATGAGAGTGAGACACCTCAGTAAAACCAATCACAGTGCTGCAGTGTGTGTATACTGATTATATGACACTTATTCAGTTGTAAGATAAGGAAAAATAGTATAAATTTATAGTTTTATGTACTTGAGACCCAAATGTTAGTCAGCTGTATAAAAACCGCAGCTGATTTGAATTTGGAAATGAATTATTTATCTGTGTGTTCACCTCTGCCATGTCAAATCATTTGTGTGATGGCCTTGATCGCCAGGGTTCGAGACCTGATGCGCTCCGGAGTCATAAAGCCATCAGAGAAACCTGTCTGGTATGATGTCTACCAGGCTTTTCCACCGAAGAGGGACCCGCTTCACGTGAAGCCACACTTCAGACCCAGCACCAAGAAACAGGAGACGGTGCCTGAGATCTTCTACAGAGAGGATGAAGTGAGAGCGTAAGTCCACTGTTCACAACAGTTACTGCAGCTGAGCTCAGAGCTCTCTTAGTCCATACTGTGAAAATAACACATGGATCAGAGAGGAAACATTGCACTGCTGCCACTAACTACTATTTTTCTATCGGTTAATCTATCAACTATTTTATCAAATAGTCAAGTAATGTAAACAATTAATTTTCCTCCAGAAAATCTAAATGACATTCTGGCATGGTCACAAGATTTCAGATTCAGGCCTAAACATTTTCTCAAACTCAGTGTAAATTCTAACAGCAGACGACTTTATGACTTTATGAGCGTATTTATCAGCTAATAAAGACCAACGATATTAAAAAGCTCCGTCTACTAATGAACAGACATTTACACGTGAAGTAATCCTTCACATGTTTGTGACTGATCTCACTGTTCAACATAAAAATAATCATTGCAAAATAACACTGGTTAATCAAGACTTACAGAGAAGGGATTTGAACTGTGATGTGCTCATCCTCCCACAGTCAGTCAGACTCTAACCAGCTGGTTTTATCTTTATCTTATCCATATCGATCCAGGTCACACTTTTACTGGTTCTTTAAATAAATAAATAAATTCAGAACAGGAAATTAATCGATAGTTCTGGTTTGTCTCAGTTCAATTGTCAATCTTCCACGTTTTAAGATTCGTGGTGAACTAAGAGCATCGGTTAGATTTCCATAAAGACAGCTTCCCTTTAGCTTTTCATAACCATTGACTGTTATATTAACCAGCGCCATGTTGTTGTGTAAAGACACCTGGACACAAAATAGATGAAACTATCTCTTTTCTGTTTGTTGCTTGTTGTACAGTTTTTATTGGCCTTTTACTTTTTATTGCACTGTAAAGTTCAGTGTGTGTGTGTGTGTGTGTGTGTGTGTGTGTGTGTATTGAGTATTCAGAGAAGGTGGAGGACCATAAATGATAAACAGAAAATAGGCAGCAGCCCTAAAACATTGCTGATGAAGTGCAATAATACAATTACTAAATGTAAATGTAGTTTGGCATTTTTACTTGAGCTCATCTGGACTGTTGTTGTGAGATGTTTTTATCGGCTCCACTCACCCACAATTCTCTCTGCCTTTCAGGAAGTTCTATGAGCGCTACGGGGCGGGTCGGCCACTCGATCTCGCCAAATCAAACTTTGTCTCTACGTGTCAGAGGTATGTTTTATGGAGGGATTGACCGATATGTTTTTTTCACAGCCGATACTGATTATCGGTAAAGACACTCATTGTGGCGTCCAGGTGTTTCTATTATTTTGTCCACCCCATTCATATCCCCGTTATTAGGTAAATAACAGAAACACCTGTATAATGTAACACAGCTCCACACACACGTCCTCCACATGATCGTACAGTTGAAACTTCTCAGATGTTGTGGTGTCGTGATTGTCCGTTCAGGACGGTCTTCTTGTTACTCCCTTCATTTTCGTAACAAAACAACACTGCATTATCATTGCCTGATAGGTCAACAGGGCATGCAATAGGTCAAGCTGATAGAGCGCCCTCTGCTGGATCACAAGGCAAACTACTTCTAATGGTCCGATGTGCTTATAGAGACTGCAGCCTACATTTCCAGCAGCTCCAATATGAACTTTTCACCCCATGTTCCAACGAATGTTCAAATTTTGAATAAAAAGAGACAGCCCTACTGTGTGTTATCAAATACATGATTAATGTTACATTATTAATACATTATTATCACTGTATTTTTCTCTTACTGTGATCCTGCAGATTTGTGGACAAGCACACGGAGTTAAAGAGCCGCAGCGAGCTGGATGACTCCGCTCTGTTTGAGGAGACTGGGAAGGCTTTACTCGCCGAGGGCGTCGTGCTGAGGAGGAGAGGAGCTCCTCCTGTAAGAGTCTTGCTAAAACTATAAGTACTAACTATAACTAAAGCTGCCACCATCAGCTGCTGACTCCAGCCTCGTGTCCAGATGTTACAAACCTGGAGCCGGTTCCACAGATATGTCAGACTGGTCTGTAGTGTTGGTTCACAGATCAGTCTGATGTCAGTCAGTCTGTTTCACTACAATAAAGACAAGAACATAAGACACCTCAGCCCCAGGCTAACTCAGGTCTAAGACCAATGTTACCATGGTAACAATCAGTGACACCTGTAGCACCCAACAACAAGGAACAGGAAAACATGGGTCAAGGTCAGTGTGACTTCACGAAACACTTTTTAGCCATTACTCAAGACTTCACAGCAATTATGACAAAATGTCAAACGAATGGTTCTTATTTTATCTGACTCTGGATAAACAGGGATGTGACCTGAAACTGGTCTGAGTGGAGGAGGTAACTTTAGTTCCTAATTTGGAAAAAGGCTTAATTTACCCAGAATTCATTGTACAACAGTCAGGCTTAAACAGTCAAGAACTAAACCGTTTTGTGCAACAGATGGATTCAGTCTCTCTGAAGTCTGATTGATTGTTATAACGAAGGGTCAAAGTCTGTCTCTGAAACTGGCTCCAGGTCTGGTCTCAAAGTGGCTAAACTGTAAACCAGTGGGAGAAGGAGGGCGGAGCTCTCTGCTCTGATTGTGTTTCACAAAATACCCTCAACACCAACAACCATGACTACAAGTAAATAGTTAACTTGTGGAAACACTAACAACTTCCTCTGGAGGCAAATTTCTTTATTGTGATATTGAGCTGTGTAAATACAATAGACTCAGTCCTGTGTACTGCTGCCCACACTGCACATGAACACACCATGACTGTGCTGCATTTGTCCTGCAGGTGGCAGCAGAGTCCAGGGATCCAGTGCTGGAGCTGAAGCTGACAGACATGCTGGCAGAGCAGCAGTCAGCCGGTGTGGACAGCAAAGAGACAGTGGACCACAGCACACACACACACACATCATAGACTTCAACTCGAGAGCGAGTGGACGAGCTGCAGATTCTGCACTCGAGACGTGTGAGTGACATTAGAAGCTGTGGTCGTGTTGCTGCTCCTCCAGTCCGTCATGGATCTGCTCTCTGGACTGTGTGAAGACCAGTTTCATGTTTCCTGACGTCACTTAGATATAAATTCACTGCGAGCCACAAACGCTGAGTCTACATCACAGCAGAGGATGGGCTGGAAAATACCTGGACATGGTCTATGCACATGTTTTATATATATAACATATGATTCATGTACAGACAGGTGACAAATTAAAGGAAGAACCAACATACAGTGTGTTAGTCAGGTGTTGTTCATCTCGTGTCTCCAGAACAGCGTCACTGCTCTAGGTCTCATATTCCCCCATGTGATGACGGAGTTGCAGAGCGCCGTCTGACACGTCGCTCCAACATCTCCCATGGGTGTTCACCTGGACTGATGGGAGGGGTCTGTTCCAGGACGACAGTGTCTCCACCCACAGGACACCAGGGCTCACTGATGGTTTGATGAGTATATGCTGCGACCTTCAGTCTCCAGGTCTCGGCCCAGCTCAACAGTTATGGGAGATTCTGGAGCAATGTGTTAAATACATATATATAAAATTAAAATATAGCTGCAAGTGGCAGTTTGTGGGTTCTAAGCCTTTGCACCCAACAGAGAGAAGCAGTTGAATTTTAGCTAATTAATGCCTTGGTAGGCGGCCATGTTTTTTGACCAATCTTACTCATAAATTTGTGTATTCCTGCCCCAAGGCTGGACACCATATTTGGTGTTGCTAAAGTAAAAAGGAAGAGTTCTATTCATTTTACTGTTTTTCACATTATGCTAATTAGCTAAAAATCCTTAATGTTGATTGATATTATCACAAAGGCTTTTTGTAGGAATGTCTACCTGTAGCTGTGAGGTAAATTTGAAGATGATGGGACTCTCGGTGTGGCGAGGGCAGGGTGAGGGCCTTTCATACTTTTCACATTTTTGATTATAGCGCCACCTTAAGGCCAAATGGGATCATATTTTTGTGAACCATTTACGCAACATCTGGAGTTATGATCCCAATTTTCTCTCACATCTGGCTGATTCCTGCTCTGCAAATTGAGCAAAGGCTTAATATGGCAGATATTGATGAATAGGCCCTGCCCACTTTCATCAATCAATGTGGCACTTCAGATTTTGGATAATACTTGCCCCCAGAACATATGTACCACATTTGGTGAAGTTATGTCCCGAAGGTTTTGAGGTACATATTTTTGGTATTTGTGGCGCCCCCTGTGGATCAGGCTTAAAACCTTTGGCAGACATTTCATTTCATGGCCTGAAGATATATACCACGTTTTATAATGATTGGACAAAGGATTGATGAGTTATGGCCAGTAATTGCTAAGCCCTGCCTTTTACAAAGATGTTTTTGTTGATGGCGGCCATGTTTTTTAACCGATCTTGCTTTAAAGCTTTAAACCATATAAATTTGTATATTCCCGCCCCAAGGCTGTACGCCACGTTTGGTGTTGCTAAAGTAAAAATTCAAAAAGTTATATTCATTTTACTGTTTTTCAAATTATGCAAATTAGCAAAAAACAAATTCTAGATGCACCTTTATGGTCAAATACGGTTACAGTAAAACTTGAACTGTAAAAACCTTAAAATGTATCGCCTGGAAAATGGTCATGTGATCCATTCTTGACATCGTTGCACCTTTGAAGCAGACACGCGTGTGACAGCAGAGGCTGTGATGAGATGGCCTCAGTGTTGGCGTCCGTCTCTCTCCTGCACCTGCACAAGGTGCAGCGATGATATTGTCAGACTAATGGAATGGCTGATTGTGTTACAGCCAGAGAGAGAGAAAGCTCCCTACAGCCCCCACCCTAATGTGCACACAGGCGGAGAGGAGCTCGCTGCCGTCTGCTGCCAGATTCCTGAACACTTCAGTCCCTGTCTCTGGTACGTTTCCTTTTTTCATCGTTTTATTCACTTTCTCTCCAGATGTAAATCTTCCTCCAGTGTAAAGGTCTGTGTCCATGTGTAGTGTGATTATAGATCAGCTCTAGCTTCTATATTAATACTGTGAAAGTATCAAAGCCTCAGTCCACAGAGAAATGCACACAGCCTGTATTCAGAAACTGAGCCTTAAAACCAGCCGTCAGGACTTCTGGAACTTTGTGATGTCACAACAAAGCAGTCACCAAGCCCCGCCCACCTGGACCCACCATCCAAACCTTGCAGGATTTGGTTTCTCTGAGTGTTTCTACCTGTAATCTGCTATATTTTTATTGGATCACTCAGAAAACAGTCAGCCAATCAGAAGAGAGGCTCAGAGCCTCCTCTCTTCTGATTGGCTCACCGACCTGTTGTTACTAGAGCTCCAGAGAGAAGCCTGAGAGAGGAGAAACTACACTGAGATGGTTTTTATATCTTCTGATGGATCAACACTTCAAATTAATAATAATAATTAATTGATTAATAAAACACAGAAGAAGAAGAAAATGGAGCTTTAAAGGGAACTTTTTATGTTCTGGTAAACTGTCTCACACAAACACACACCAGTTTAACCAGTTAACGTCCAGTTCTTTTATGGTAAACTGGTCAAACACAAATGCATTTAGGATCACACACTACAGCACAACAGAAACTATAATAGTACAGATGTTACAGCAGATTTAGACTCAGGGCTCCTCAACAACACAAGGCCACAGATCAGGGAAGAATCAGGACCCACATTAGCAGAAATCCACTAAATAGATTTTCAATTGATCAAATTACCAGAAACCATTGGACACACACAACAAGCTTCATGTGTTTATGTTTATTATTGTCAGTAAATGCACGTTTCATCAGGGAGTTCAGTGCAGCAGGGACTCCAGCCTTTTAGCCAACAGAGGACAGAGATGATCGGTACGTTTCACATTTATCATTCTGGATTTAACTGGCTATAATTCATGCATCAGGAAAAAGACATGAAAATAAAAATAGACTTTGATTCCTTCCAGTTCCTCGGTGTCTTTGTCCTCTGGCACAAAGACGCCGCCGATATCTCCTCATCATGTCGACGGCGCCTCAAAGCAGAATAATTGTTTTCCCTCCTCCATCACTTCTGATAAGGCACAGCACGCCACTCACCTTGACGGACAGCCGCGCCACCACAGGCGGCTCGGAGCGGGAGAGATCATGTGTCTTTGTTCACATTTGATGGACCAACAGCTGCAGCTGTTATCAGTGGTTTGATTCGCTGTGGATTTCACACACACACACACACACACACACACACACACACGTGTAAAATCACCTGTTGTGTTTTTATTCCTCTGCGCCGGCGACAGTCAGAGCGGCAGCCATTTTGTTTTCAGGTTGTCTATCCGTCTCATTCTCATGGACACGATGTCTCAGTGACGCCTCGACAGAACTTCTTCATATTTGGCACAAACATTCACCTGGACTCAAGGACGAACTGATTAGATTTTGGTGGTCATGGGTCAAAGGTCAGTGTGACCTCAAAAAAAAACCAGCCATTACTCAAGACTTCACAGCAATTATGACAAAACTTCATACAAGTGGTGAATATTTTCACATAAGTTCACAAGGCCAAAAGTGTGTTTTGTGAGGTCACCGTGACCTTGACCTTTGTCATCGTGTCCACGAGAATGAGACGGATAGACAACCTGAAAACAAGATGGCTGCCGCTCTGACTGTTGCTGGTGCAGAGGAATAAAAACAACCAACCACCTTATCTCCATTCCCTTAAGTTGTTTCATACAACTGAGATGAAAGAACGATATTGCTATCATATCACAAATGTACATGACTTTAATGTTTCGCTGCAGAATCTGTTCGTCAACAGCCGTTCTTTAACTGACGACTCAGCGTCCTTTCAGCTGCAGGGAGGGACATAAAGATATTATCACTTTCAGCCTGTTTAGGTTTAATGCAGCTCATCACACACACACACACACACACACACACACACACACACACACACACACACACACACACACACACACACTTACTTGTAGGACATTGCTGTGTTGAAGTGTCTTGAGGCTCACACACAGTTTCCAGAGTCGTCCTGTGTCGACTACAAATGATGAGATATTGATTGGCTGGGAAATGTCATTGTTGACTGATGGCTGCAGGGTGATGAGTCACCACACACACACACACACACACACACACACCATTGTAACTGTATGTTATTTTCTGTAAGATCTATGTCTGTTTTTAATGAAGACCCTTGTTTTAAAAATATTATATTATAATACCTTTATTACAGCTGTTGTTTTTATCTGTAACATATAATCTACTCCCCAGAAATGTCCTTTCATATTTACCTATGTCACAGGTAGGATACAGGTAAACACTGTTACAAAAGGACAGTTGCTACAACAGACATAATGTAAACTTCAACTCCTTCACAACCATGAACCCTCTGATACGAGCCAGAGGAGTATATTCACTTTTCCCTTTGCTCCTGTCATCATTACTACGACCACTAGATGTCGCCTAGCAACAAAACCTGACTATGATGTCATTATGACCTGCTGCACAGACGACCTGTGGGCTCGTTTTCTACAGGACAGACTCATCTCAGCTCATGGTTGGGCTTTTAAAACTAATAGTGTCAGTGCTGTTCTGTTTCACAAGCAGGTGTGTGTGTGTGTGTGTGTGTGTGTGTGTGTGAGAGAGTGTGAGAGTGTGAGAGAGAGTGTGTGTGTGTGAGTGTGTGAGAGAGAGAGAGAACCTCCTCCATGCAGCAGCTCTGGTCCAGGTGCAGGATAAATTAGACAATAAGAGGCGTGAAAGTGGTGAGTTCACAGGAGTGGAACGGTCACTCATGGAGAGAGGTTTGGAGGGTTGGATTTGCAGTGTCACGCCCCACCAAACAAACCCTCCATAACAGCACAGTGAATACATCAGTGTGTCCCCATGACAACTGAAGAGGGAAAATTGTCACGCTGTGCTCTGGATGACTGGCAGACATCCGCTTCCTTCATCCACAACCAGCGTCAGTCATGGCAAATACCACAGGATGCATTATGCAGATGCTGTAGTCACAGCACAGCAGCACAGACAGGAGGGACGACACAGCCAGAGGTCTGAGCCCCGACAGCTGTTACACTCATCCAAGTGTGTTTCCATTTGGATCCATTCAATCATGTTTAGACTGATTCAGACTTTAAAAATCTGCCACTGGAGTAAGATGATTCCCAATGAACCTTTATTATACATATTTATACCTAACTATTGTATGACTGTTTTTATGATGTTTTTATAACTCATTATACTGACATTTTTATGATGTTTTT